TTGTATTAATGAGTTTAGAAAGTTTTTCTGCATAATGAGAATTGAAATTTTCATGAATTGAATTACAAAACTATTAAATAGTTTAGGATTTAGTCTTTTATTGGACAATAGAGATAATTTTTTTAATAAAATAAGTCATAAACACGAGTTGGGATTTAAAAGTAATATAAAAGTTAAATAAAATTAATTACAATAATTTAATAAATAATTTTGCATAAAAAAAATAAATTTTAACTTTAAGATCTTATTCTTTAAGTTTGCTTTAAACCTTTTACAGTCTCTTACCACCATACATTTTCACCTCTACTCTTTAGAATTTGTACAACCCAAATAGAGATATACTCATTAAATCAATGATTTCAAATATATTATGATTAGGAAAATATTTTTTAACAATTTTTTGATAACTTTTTTACCATCGCTTATGTGATAACTTGTGACTGATCTGCTTCAAATATACAAACCAATAAAACAATAACATATATTTTATTGTCAAAAAATTGTTAAAAAAAGTTGTTAACATCTCATACTAATCTAAATAATTAACATTGTCAAACATAGAATAGAAGTTCACAACTTTATCAGGCATGAGGTAGCATATCAATGTTAAGCAAACAAAACAACAATCACTCAATTTCTTTATTTTGATGACATAATGACTCATCATGTAGATGATAACAATGTGGATAACTAATAATCCCAGTGATGGCAAAAATAATTAGTAGGTCCACCTATTCCTCTGTGCCTACAAAATTGGTCTTGTTTGATTTCCCAAATGGCACTTTCACAACCAGTGTACTTGCTTGGAGAACACATATCAAGAGAGTGATGAGCACCATTCCATCGAAAGAAACAGAGCAATGATGATTTTCCTGGTACTTCTGGAAGCCCACCATTGTACGGCCACTTAATTGAATCATCATTGGCGAGACTGTGTTGCTTACCATCAATATGAGGACAATAAACGTTTAACATCAACTTATCACCCAACATATTTTTTACCCCAACAACAATGGATCCGTTTGTTCCCATGATAGCATTGTTTGCAAGCCACACAAATGCTACAAGCATCATCCATGGCATGGAAAAGTTTCTACACATTGTTGCACCTTTGCCAACCCTTTTTTTTTTCTTTAAAGATGAATCTATGAAGGTTGGGGAGTTCATAAAGCATGTTTATGAGAGGTTTTTATATTTAAAATATAGTAATATGGTGTAATGTAATAAAACCTTCCTCATTTTGAGAATAAAGTCAATAGTATTTGTGGAAACAACTAATTCGACTTTTGAAATAAAGCAAAAGAAAATTAATGTTATTCATTACTATTTGTAACTCTCATTTGTTAAGTATTTAATAAAGAGTTACGTTTTTTTTTTTATTATTATTTTGTCAATCGAAAGTGTGTTACAGGTAAGGACTTGCCTTTTACCACAATTTAACGTCACAAAACAACTAAGTATTTTTAGTTAATAATTATCACATATTTTGTATATCTATTAATTACCAGAACTTAACATATAATTATTTAAGTTATAAGACCTATTTCAAAAGGTCTTTGGTGATGCTTGTAGAAAATCTTCAAAATCGAGTATTGTTGATTTATAATGTGATTGTCCTTATTGTTTGGGTACCTTATTACGTTTTGTGGCCAGACGATGCTAGGTCGTCGGCTGCTCGGATTTCCATCATTTAAAGTTCACTCGGATGATACTGAGAGAAGATACTCAAATGTTAAAGTCAGTAGATGACTAGTCATTTAACAATTAATGTAGTGATGTGTATAAAAGTGATACTTTAGACCTTTATTTATAGTAGTTGCTATGAGTTTTTACCTTTTTGTCAGCCTATTGGCAACCATATCATACATTAATTGAAATTAACAAGTTAATTTGTTATTATCATTGTTAATTTGACCATTATGTAACCAGTCAATTATGTTATTTGATTAGAGTTGTCAGTCACTTATTATTACTATTGTTAGACCATTATGTAATCCATTGGCCATACCATTCGATTAAGGTGGTCAACCACGGCCAATCCAGAGTGGACGGCTTAGAGGAGCTTGGCCTAGAAGAGTCAAATAAATGAGCTCTGTTTGGAGTGGTCGGTCATACCGTTCAGTTAGGATCGTCATTAGGGTTATGTCCAAGAGGTCAACTCAGAGTGAACAACCTAAAGGATCATTGGTCTTGGAACTCAACTTAGAGTTGTCTGTTTAGAGGAACTCAACAAAACATACATACAATACTAATACCTATCCATATTTGTATATAGATTACATAAAGTACAAAAAAGAAATTAATCTTTAAATTTATATATACATATATATATATATATATATATATATATATATATATATAATATGGATAGTGAGTAAACTTATATAAAAGTTTATAGCATTATTTTTAAATTAAAATTTTAAAACAACAAATTTATAAATATTCTTTTTATATATTGCTTTCTGTTCATGGAAGCTTTTGTTTGATCGAAAACTTTAGAGAGTAAGTTTTATATCTCTATTTTATTTTCTACTTAGCAAGAATATCTCAATTGAGTGAAAATAAACCAGAAATGAAGATATGCATTATTGTAAAAGAGATTCTACAACGTCTAAAATTAATTCAACACAATTCACCAAGAGACAAACAACTTTAGATACCTGTTTTTGGGTTCATAACATAAAACATTGTGGTTCTAACTCAAAAAGACTACCTATAACTTGAAATGGCTACTCAACATTGTTGTTTCATTTCAAAGCTTTACTAATTTATTGACTCAGTCAACTTCTTCTCAAACTTCATTAACAATCCAAGAACAAACAAATCTACACCTTAAACCAAACAACTTTATGGATGGGAGAAGAAGACCTTCTAGAGACTGTCTAGCAGTAGTCTGATAGACCGCCTAGTGCGGGCATCTATGAGGTTTAGCTATCTTAATGGTTTTTTGTTATTTCCTTAGTTTAAGTTCTGTGTAGAGACTGTTATAAGCTTAGACAGTACACTATATTTGCATTAAACTCTGTATAGAAACTTTGTGGATAAAAGTGTTTTCTACAATCTTGTTCTTTGATTTTCTTGCTTGTTATATTGTTGAGAACAAACAATTGATGCTGTATGTGGGTACAAGAAAACAGAAATCAAGAAGTTGAAGACATGATTACCAAGTTTGACATCGAGAAGTCTTTCAGGGAGAACAACTTTGAATTATGTAGAACGAAAATGGATGCTATCTTGCTCCAACAAGATTGTGTTGATGCTATGAAGGGTGAGTTAAACATGACAGTGTCTATGTCTCAGAAAGATAAGACTGACATGATCAACAAAGTCAGGAGCGTCATAAATTTATGTCTTGGTGATAAGACCAGGCAGATTCTCAAAAATACTTTCTCTTCCTGAGTACAACTTTTCCCCTGTAGGAAGTCCTGGAAGGGATTTGTTGCATCATTCTGTGACTGCACAGGCAAGATTTTCTTCCTCGGGAAAAACCTCAATCGGTCTTCCAAACCAAGAAACTAACAATTCAGAAAAAGCAGTCAAGCATTTGTGATGAAATCTCTAAAAATAAAGTACAAGAAATTAAGCCAGTGTCAAATTTCTCCCATGATATTGGTCCTATTGATACATCTGAAGTCTGGTGTCCTATTAGAGATGAGAGAGCCACAGAAGGTACCATGTTCAACTTCAAAGTAAATGACCTAAGCTGTAGATGCTGTGATAAAATTTCAGTTTGTATTCATGCTTATATACGGTTTTTTGGCTTATCATTTCTGAACTATGAAGAAGATAATGTTGAATCTGCAAAAGAGAAAAATGAATTAGAATCGAGTAACTTTACAGAATACGCCTTCACACCTTACTCCACACTTGTTCAGGTAACTCTATTCGCCCTTTGTTCCTTTCTTGTCACTGTCTTTTGATCATACAATGTTTAGAGGAATTCCTATGTGTGAGGAGGAAGGGAAGCAAAGAGGGGATAAAAATTGATTAACAAGAACACTGGAGAGTTATAGAGTTCTTCAATTTGGTACAGTTTCTTTCATCCTACCAGACTAATTTGATATTGGATAATATATTGTGAATAAGGATACTCAAATAAGAAACAAAAAGTAAATGGGGAGGCAGTGGCAATTGCATCTTACAGAAATGAAAAATATAGTTTTGTTTACAATGACAAAGCACAGTCTTATTTAGGATGTGACTCACTTCACCTATTGAAGGCCAAAGTTTGATTTGCGGATCCCATTAGAAGGTTTTTTAATTTTGTTAGTATCATGTTTGTATATTTGCTTTTTGGTTAGCCTATTGATTTCACGAAGTTATAAAATAGCGTACAATCAGCCTTTTGTGGTTGGGATGGGAACTGAGCAGAAATATGCACGATATGTGACAACAAAGAAATTCGGAATCTGTCTGAATTATTATTGTTCTTGCTTTTTTCTTCGTTTCTTTCCTAATAACTACCTCCTTCATCGATAGATTTAGCTTTAATATTTTATAATTTTAACCGAATTCACGCTTTAGATATATCAGACAAAAACTTAAACTTATATCTCAACATGGCGAGCACAGTTTTATTAATTAATTAGAGTACATTTTGGTATAAACAATTACGCGTTTGTAATTTTTTGCATATATTAGTGGTGTATGTAATCCAAAATGTTTAAGAATTGCAAGTTGAATGTTATAATATAAGGTAGAAAAAAAAAGTTTCTCTTCTGAATGTCTAAGTTCTAGCCAAATAGTTAGGATAATTTTATAAACATCATATATATACAGCTAAACAACATAAATTTTAGTATCATCCTTTGAAAAGAAAAGTGTTTGTAGTGAAAACGTACATTCAGTTAATAGTGAAGAATTTAGCCAAGTCGCAATAACTGGTAGAAAGTAACACATTAAAGTAAAAATATGTAACTAGGAAAACGCCATTGGTCATGTCACTACAGCTTCGCATAAACAATTTATGCTAATATTTTCCAATTCCCTATAGCGGTCACAATACGTAAGAATCTGCACCTAGTAAAAAACATCATGAACAAGACAAATTGGGCATACACAAGTATGTGTTCCCCGACAAACGACACCAATTCTTCATTGAAATTAGTATCAATTACACGTAAAAGTATATGTGCTCAAATGTTAAAATGTCAATCAGGAAAAATGTATATTAAGTCAAAATTCCAACAAGGCAAATGCAAAATGTGAATACTTTACAGCCTTGCAGCAAAAAAGAACTCATCAGCAAATGTCACTTCTGCTTCTTATTTCGCAATATAGATGAGATCAGAGGTGCCGTTGCCTTCCTCTTAGCAAACGCATTAGTTCTGCTATCCAAGTCCTCGCTGTCTTCATCGTCATCTAAATCATCTCTCGCAGTTGTGGCAGACTCCTTAGCAATGTTGGCTGCTTTTCTTTTTTCAGCAGTCAATTTGGCATACAACTTCTTTTCAACAGGGTCATCGGAAGGTACATATTTTGATCGGCGTGAAACTTTTGCACCTAGACCAAGCCTATAAAGTTGTGTAATTATATAACATAAGCAATATCTGTCATGACAAACAAACAAGTGCATCATAACATAAACGATACATTTGCTACTAACCCGGAAGGTCTACCCTCTAAATCTGCATTTGTTCTATGATCATCAGCATCTTTACTCATATTATTTACCCATAACTCGGCCTGCCAATCAGAATGGTTGACGTTTAAGTACAAGCAGCAAATTAACAATATTTTGATATAAATCAAGAGAAGCAAATTGTTCAGAAAGATGGAAATCACTCTAGTATATATATAATAAGTTCCAGTCTTTAACCAAGCTACTTTACTAACTAGTCACACACAAGTTTAATAAAATGTTTATTGTTGTCAGTGTACGTAATAATTTGCATGAATGAACATTAATACTGTCTAAAACGATTTGACAACCACAAAATTCATATGGGAAGAGGGGTAAAAATTGCTTACCAATTTCAATGCCTTGTCCAACTTAACAATTTGGGGAGCACCAGTTTTCTTGGATGTTTCTTTGACACTCATTTCAAGCTCTTGTGCCCTGATAAATTGAAAAGAACGAATTGATATACACTCATACTACCACATTTTAAATATTTGAAAACATGATAGCTCTCTTTTAAAACAAACAAATTGCTTACATACATATGCTTTCTATTCTGACATTCCCTAATTCAACGAGCCCATGAATTAAGTATTCCAATAACTATGGGGTGACTTAGGGCAGAAGGCTCTCACCTAGTACGCTGTGGGAAGTGTAGGGGTTAGATGCACGCAACCTTACTCTCACAAGTAGGGAGGTTTTCAGGATTTGAAGTTGTGAACTCCGTATCAGAAGACTTTACTCATGCAGGGAGAAAAGGCACATTTTAAACAATTTTTAAAAATTAAAAAGCTATTTTATGGTTCTAGTTTTCTTTATTCACTAGGAATAAAATCTAACTAAACAAAATTCTAGTGCTTTAGCTTCACACAAAAAATGTCGCTGCAGAAACATTACGCGTTTTAAAATGACACATTAATAATATCTATCTCTAAATATCATCTATCTATCTGAGCTCCTGTTAGGAGCTTCTATTCATACTTCATAGTGTGATGCACTTAGATAGAGACAAGATTGGACATGGTAGAGAGAAATCGAGGGATGGACAAAGGAGCACAAAGATCAGAGAGCCGAAGTGTGTTTTAGCTTCACACAAAAAATGTCGCTGCAGAAACATTACTCGTTTTAAAATGACACATTAATAATATCTATCTCTAAATATCATCTATCTATCTGAGCTCCTGTTAGGAGCTTCTATTCATACTTTACAGTGTGATGCACTTAGATAAAGACAAGATTGGACATGGAAGAGAGAAATCGAGGGATGGATGATAACAGTTGAAAAACTGTTATTTTTATACTTAAAATTGATTTCAATTACAACTTTTATGACTTAGAAATTAGCTTGAACTAATGATTTTGTTGAATTGTTGGAAATAAGAGAGTTGGACAGGTTTTATGCTTGATTTCCTTGTTTTTGCAGGTTTTGAGATGAAATTGATGAAAGAAGTGAAAAGGGATAGAGATGGAATCAGAAAAGGACACAAAAAGTGCAAAAGAAGATAAACCGCAAGTACCGCTTAGCGCAAATTACCGCTGAGCGGCACTCTCAAAGACCCGTTGGCACCGTTGAGGGGAGAAATGCCGCTGAGGGGAAGAATTGGTCACGCGCTATTACCGCTGAGCGGTATGTACCGTTGAGCGGCACTTTTATGGGCTTGGGCCTAATTTTTTGTATTTTTTAGAATAGTATATAAGCTTTAGGACGTTTTAGGGTTCGTATATTTGGCTGGGACGAAGCAAAAACGCACTCTTTGACCCCTTGGAGGAGGATTTTGGATGCTAAGGCTCCTTTCTCAACTTTCTAGGGTTCTATCCTTCACTTTTCCATTGTATTTCATCTAGTTTCACCATGAATATGGTGAACTAAACTTATTTTGTTGTTGGAGAATCAATGTAAATCCTTAGAAACTCTCTTGTATGGAATATGTTCTTCAAGATCATTTTTATGATACATGCTTTCTTTCATTAATAGTTAGGGTTTTTCCTCTTTGCTCAAAGCATGCATTGTTTAACTCATTCGATGTCATGATTATTGGTTTTGTCGATATGGACACATACGGGGAAATCTAGATCTGGGGAATCTCTCCCAACAGTATATTACAAACCTAGACATAGGAGTATGATGGTTGGTTGCCTTTAAGCTTCTGTTCACTATAATGCATGATTAATTGCTAGGGAGACAAGACATTGTAAACTAGTGATTATGATTGGGCTTTCTTCGCCGAGACATCGGGTTTAAAGTAATTTAGAAAGTAGCATTAACATTAATGAAAAGAATGATAAATTCCTAAATACAAGAGAGTGGATAGGATGAAATTGATAAACCCCAACAACATATTCATCCATATATTTCAATTCACATGTTTTGTTTCTTCTTGCACATTGATCATCACATGCATACATATTTACTTTTCAGTCTTTTGCATTTGAAACTTACAACAATTTGTTCACAAGTCTTAATTAATCAACAAAATTACACAACTGTCTAGGCCGAGTCCTTTGGGAGAACAATACTTGGTCTTACCAGGTTTATTACTTGATACGATTCGGTTACACTTGCCGAGGGTTAACAAGTTTTTGACTCCATTTTTGGGGATTGAAGATTTGGTCATCAATGGACAAAGGAGCACAAAGATCAGAGAGCCGAAGTGTGTAAAAAGGAACTCCAAGAATCACATCACTGCCTTACTCTCCTATTCCTACTTCCATACACTCTCCACATAATGGGGCTATTAGCAATCTGAGAAAAAAAAATACTCGTCTTTGGGTCTAAAGGTTTATTTACAGCTGGCATTGCCTCTTTCTTGAGAATAGTCTTGTCCTCAAGACTGAAATATGGAAATTGACTCTCGATGGAGAATTCTTCTACCTATGTAGCCTCTTCAATTGGTTTGCCAATAACTTATTATCTAACAACACCTGTAAAACCTCACTAAAGTGTTTCGTATATGGGACTCCCAATCCTGACTGTATATTAGAATGTCATAAAAAAAATAAATACATATTCTCACCGAATGGGCTTGATCTCATTCGTCAAGGCTTGAAACTAGAAAGTGCATTATAAGTCCAATAGGCATCACTATGTATTCAAAATGACTTTGTGAGTACTAAAAGCACATCACAAGCTTTCACCTGAGCTTGGTTATAACCAAAATTTCAAATCCAGATTAGAAAATAATTTAGCCCCATAGACCTTGTCAATAATTCATCAATGATAGGGCTGGGCCAATTTAGCCCCATAGGCCTAGTCATAATAGCGAAGCTGAATAAATCACGGGGAGTTGCTCCCTCCACCCCCACACATCTCTTCCTCCACCTCCCCAATTTTCTAAAATGCCAATTATATCCTTCTAAAATGACAATTATATCCTCAAAAGTTAAAATTTTTTAATTTTTATTATTTTAATTTATTTAAAACTTCTGATTTACTTCTCTGCACTCTTCCTCTCTTCCATTTCAGTTCAATTTTCTCTCTTCTATAAAGCTTCTTCTCCATTTCTCCATTTCCGTTTATCATTTTCTCTTCAAGCCTCATCAACCTTTCACTTCTATTTCTCCATTTCTTTCTTCTTCATTTTCCGGGAGAGCATTTGCGGGCCGTTGGTGATTGGTGCGGTGGAGGCCGTTCATATATAACATTTAAAATTATAAATTTAAATATAAATTACTGTAAATAAAATAAACAAATAAAATAAAAACGAAACGAAAAAGCAACGCTGAATGACATCCTTCAACGGATGTCAACATCCGTTTAAGGCGAAACGGATGTCGACATCCGTTTAAGGCGAAACGGATGTCGACATCCGTTTTGTGATGTCACACTGTTTTATAAACGAAGGTTCGAGAAGGTGGGTTTAAGCACACATTAGAAACAGACAGAGGAAGTAGAAAGCCAAATCAAAACCAGTGGGCGTTTCGTAGAATCCTCATTGCTCTGAAAACGACAAACCGAGATTTAAAAAACGCCCACATTTTCACTTTCAACTCTTTTATTACATTGCATAAATTTCAACACTCTTCTCAGATTGCCCACCGAAAAAGCCTTTCACCATGGTTTCTAGCCGTTTCGTGTCGCTCTTTCTCTGTTTCCTCTGTTTTGAGATCTCTGTTTCCTCCATTCGGTTGCCTGGTGTGGACCAAGAAGCCAAGGCCACGTAATGATGATGATAATTTTATTTCTGAATGCACTTTTGCCATATGGGTATCTCTCTGCCCGTGAATGAGTTTAAAATTTTACATTTTTTTATGTTTTGGTTTGTGGGTGTTTGTTTTCAGCCATGGATCGGGGCTTGGGTTGAACAAAGGAGTCTGTTCAGTGAAATTTGATCCCACACGGGTCACTCAGCTCTCATGGAATCCCAGGTTTGACCTTTTCCTTTGTTAGACAAATGGGTCGATTTTATTTTCTTTTGTTGTTGAATTTTTGTGAATTATATCATGCAGGGCTTTTCTGTACAAGGGATTCTTGAAGGAGGAAGAATGCGACCATGTGATAGCTCTGGTTAGATTTAGTTTTTGATCTTAGT